GTTTTTGAAAGTGCTTAAAGCGCTTAATATATTCAGCTCGATTGGTAAGCAATTAAAATTAAATGTAAAACCGAAACTCTAACAATATCCAGTGTAATTAAATCACAGCCAAAAATCTGACAAGCCCTGGAGTAAGCCAAAATGAAACCGCAAAGCAGCTTGCCGCCGATGTCAATGTGACCGAAAGGACACTGAAAGGATACTTAACAATGAGAGAGAGAGAGAGATCCAAAACGGTTTGGGCACGAAATCAACATTGTAGATTATACGAAACCCGCTTTGGATGCTCTGCCTGTTATTCAAGCTCACTGAACACCCATACACACATTCATCGAGCAGGACACACGTACACGAGAACAATTTCGGTTAAAGGACTTGCGGTGAAAATGAAATGATGCTGATGCGCCATTGGACTATAAAACGTAGCTAGCCAACTGTGAAAAACAAGAAAAACAGCAGAAAGAAATCAGCTAACCGGAATACCGACCCAAAAAGCAGAACCCTTTAAAGCTCGATACTAAAAAGATTGTTGAACCACAGCCTGGAATGTGTACAAATATTCTAGATTTTGTTACTTTATTAGACTTTAACCTTTTAAGCTTATGAATGAAGTTTGTTTGGTTTTATTTTCATTAGGTACTTACTTGTGAGATATAAGATGTTATGAAAATTCTTAATTGAGAAGTTATAAAACTGTGTATATATTTTAAAATAAATTTTACCCAAATAGCTACCAAACTCGTACACATAAAAGATGCAAAAAGGACGCTGCCAAAAATTGTGTGCACAAAATTGACATAAAGGATAAAACAAGAGAAGAGCAAGGGGAAAACGTTCGCGCAATTGGCACCAATCCAAACAATAAAATGGAAATGGCAACTGACACTGGATGTCAACCTATTTTTTCTTATTTTTTCCTTCTTTATTTTGTTGTTTTCTCTGGCATTGTCCTGGCTTGTGTTGCTCTTGGTGTTGCAATGGCGACTGTAGTCAACAGCCACGGGAGGCAAAAGGACGAACCAAAAAAAATATTGGTTGGGCTCTCAACAAATTTATGGGAATAGGGTGTTGTGCAGGCATGTATACTGAAAAGGAGAAGTTAAAATATATCGCATTAAATAGTATGTCAAAAATAGACTATCGAAAATATCGTTTTATCGACAAACTAAAATTTTTAATAATAAAACCAAACATATTAGAATTTTAAACCAATTTTGTAAAAACTTTTAAATAGAATATCGATTCGTTAAAATATAGATTTATAAATACACCAACTATTGAGACAAATGTTGATACTGTTCAGATATATCGCTGATTTTTGTAATCTCTAGTGATGTTTCAAAAAATTCATAACAAAATTATAGTTATACCAAATACAGATCCAATTAGGTTGATCTTCATTACATTTTTTGAGATTTATCAATCATCTTTTATCTTTTAAAATATTTTACAGTGTAACTTGAGCAAGCATTTCGCATCTGTCATCGCACATCTTAAGCACCCTGTATACAAATAAAAAAAATAAAAAAACAGAAAAGAAAACGAAAGTCGAAGCAATCGGCCTCCGGGGGTCTTTGGCTGGCAAAAAGTTTGCAATTGCCAAAAGTTGATTATATGCTCCAAGGCGTACGATTCGATTGGAAATTTTTGTCTGGTCTATCAGTCTTTAATTGAAGTGTGTGTTCATCATGAATTCGCGGAAGTTTCAAGCAAACAGTTCCCCCGGCATTCATCTGCCTCGAACTGCCACAATTTTGTACATTTGTTCGGCTGCTCATAATTTTATGCAAATGAAATACGCCCAGGCCAACATTTTGCGGTATTTCCCCGCCTCCCTCGCTTTTCACTTGAAGCACCTAAAAAATAAAGGTGGGAGACAGACAGAGACCCAACCGCACACGAGACCTCCTCTCATCCGGCAAATGCGTGTTCCACAGATGCCACAATTACGAGCATTATCACGGAGGTTGAGTGCGCGGGGCGCCCTCAAAAGTATGCTTATAATTTAGACCGCCTGCAGAAGCAGAGGCCACAGCCGGGGCAGCAGGCAACACAAAAAAATACCTGAAATGGCACTACTGTGAAATTTTTTCTGTGGCCCCTCCCTTTGTCGAGGCAAACTGCAGGCAACTGCACTCAAAAAGGGTCCTCCATCATATGCTTCCAACTTGTAGTTAGGTTTATTCCAGAAACTCTCTGGGGAAGAGGGCATATTGGGTTAATATGAAGCTTTGGATTAAATAAATACATAATTTATATAAATACAGTAAATATAAATGGTATAAAATATGGGATTTAGGGAACATATAAAAGAATGGTTTTAAATCATAAAGGTGACTCTCTCACATTAATCATTTTACGACAGTTTTGTGGATTTGTATTCCCCAAAGAAAAAACATTAATAGGTACTTTATAGTCGGAAGCCAAAACACTGCCCTTTGCTACTGACGTTCTCTGTGAAAGTAAAACGTTGTTGAGTTCATTAAAAATTTGACTAAGTGCGTTGTCATCGTCATCATGGCAACCTCCTGGCCCCTGTCTCTGGTGCTGAATTCCATAACTGTCGGCCAGCTCTGTATGTGTGCTATTGGTGCCTGGCATCCAGCACGTCCTTGTCTGTAGTCCTGAATGTGTGCATACATTTAAACGCATGTTTCTGTGAGGGACTGACATACACAAAAGAAAAGCATTGTGTGAATATTCCAAATGAGATTTTATTAACAAAATATTTACTATATATTATTCGATTTAGAATTGATCTCTAAAGTCACTGTTTATTTTATACAAATTAAAATTAGGTAAACTGAAGACAAGAAATTTTTACAAAAATTACAAATTCTGGTTTTTATTCGGATCACTTCTTATTTTTCGACGAGCATATTTAAGATTGAATGTCAGGGAGTATCGCCTGAGCGACGAATGTACGTCTTGTATGTGAGGAAGAATAGGGTTTTAATGGTTGATCATCCTCCATAGTGTTAATAAATCTATTGTGAATTTGTGGAAATTATTTGGACCAGCACTAATCTTTCAAGCTCCTCGAACTTTAAGCCTATTTTAGGTAGTCCCCCCTGGAGCAGCATCACGCGATCTTCCCAAGCGTTATTCTTCTTCTGACCCTGGGAACCTTGCTCTCATGCCACCTTTGAGAACCGCCAAGCCATCAAGCGTGATCCAGCAGAAGCACCTCCTCAACGCCAACCGGAAGCCTTTCAAATCGGCAGTGGACTTCAATCCAGCATCAGCACCAAGACTATGGACCTCCTGCAGCAGCAGCACAAGTTGGATCGTCAGGATTGTCAAGGACAGCTTTAAGGTATGCCCGAAAAGAACGAGAAGCAGCGATTGGAAGCTAAGCATCCCATAGCCAAGGACCTGAATAAATCAGAGGTGTTAGACTAGTTCCACAAGGAAATTATATTTCCCTACCTGTGCGACCTCAAACAATCGTCGACTTCTGACTATCCAAGCTTGCAACAGGCTTCGAGAATAGCTCCCAATAGGAACTAAAAAATTTAACTTGAGCCTTACTTAACCCCAAACGGACGTGGCTTACGAACCTGCATCACTGCCTTGGTGGATCTCCTACTGAAACAGCACAAGTTGGATGAATCCCAGGAGGATCGCCAAGATCGTTAGGGTGAGCATTGACCACCAAGTAGGAACTAGTAAGACGTACGAAGAGCTATGCTTTCATGGGCACTGTAATTTTGAATAATAAAAAAATTTCAGGTCTAAAAGGAATACTTTTTCGGTTATAGTCGAAATGTAAATGCCAAATGGATTATTTTCGTATATCCAAACTGTTGATATGTCAAAGAACATGACACAATTATAAAAGGTAGCTTGATCGCTTCAAAATCGTTAGGGTTTAGGGTCTAATTTTATTTTAAACATTATTTATAATACGATATAGTTTATGATAGTTCTGTAGTATAGACTCTATACTATAAAGTCCATTCTAAAAAACCATGTACATATATCTTTATATATCTTTAATATTAATCTTAATTATTTTTAAGTTTTTTAGTCTTTTTTATATTTAGAACTTTTACACTTTAACATTCCCGAGAAGTGTATGTACCTCTCACACTTGAACTTGAACTTTGTCGTTTAGTATGTGTATCAGGGAAGCCATTTTTTTCGGTTTTGCGCTCACCAAAATTGGATTTTCTTGCTAAACGCAGACCGAATGCTTGAAACCGGGGATTATGGCAAGATGATAGTCCCCCAAAGTCGATTTAAAAAGCTCATGAAATATGCAGGCGGCATGTTGTTGTGACTCTGCCATTAATGTGTTGCAAAGGATAAAAGGAAAGTAGTAAGTAAAATTATCCTATGAATTGGAAAATAATTCAATTAAAATTGATGTGATTAAAGCATTCTTTAAATTCCTATTAAATTTCTCAGGTTTCTAAGTATAAAAGAGTCGTAAAAAACTAACATAATATTACACTTAAATCATCTTTTTCGTGTGCGTATCAAAAAGTAATTGAGTTATTATTTCCCTATCCCAAAAATACAGAATAAACCAGCAGCATAAGCAAACAGTTACGTTCCATAGCCCATAAAGCTGCAATCTCTTGGGTCAACAAAGCCAAGAATAATATCCATGGGCATCGAAAATAATTTCTTAAGACTCGCGCCCCCAAGAGACCCCCATGATAATGCTCTCTTGTCAAGTGCCGCACGACTCTTACGATGCTTCGCATAAAAAACGGGAAAACGCCTCTCTGTTGTGAATATGCGGCACAAAGGAAACTCGATGAAAATCAGCGGAATCCCTCGTGACAAAATCAATAGATAAAGGGAAAGCCAGCGATAACAGCTGTTCATCGCCTTCTCGGCATTCGAGAAAATGTAAACAAGGAGAGCGCCTAAATATAGGACACTCCGAAAGAGCACCCCCAAAGAGCACGGCAACTGGGGAGCCAAGAAGCGAGAGCTGGCTGCCCAGCCGATTACATTTTCCCCAACTCAGTTGCTCGCAGCTCTTCGACGTCGGCGGCTAGTGGCACGGAAAACGGAAAAGCGCGGAAAATTTCTAGCTGCCCGTCCACTAACACACACACCCGCTCTCGCCCAGTGACAGTGTGCTCCATATGTGTAATCAAAGAACACGCTCGGAACCCGCAGTTTATATATAGAAAATTTCAACGCACGCTGCTGAGGGAAACTAAAATACAAAAATAAATTACGAAAATCGAAAAATAGTGGCCACTTTTTCGAGGAAAATTCTGAGAATCGTCGGGCTTTTAACAACGATAAAGGGAGTTATTATTCTAATTATTATTCGCATTACGCATACGCTCCGTGTGCCGTTCGCGTGTGTCTGTGACTGTGTTTGTGTGGTGAAGAGCGAAAAGCGAAAAAAGGAAATCCCGTCAGCGCTGCTGGCGTCGAAGCCGACGCAGGCGACTCCACCCAAAATTGTATATCAATTTTGAAGGGTTTTCGAGTTTTCCCAGTGCCCGTCGTATGCGTACTTGACCCGATGGTCCATAGCCAATAGCCCAATCCCAGCGAGAATCGACGCCGCCAAGCAGCAACAAGGAAAATGCGAGAAAAATGTTTGGTTTATGCGAAAAGTTGATGACACATTTCGCTGTCATTTTGACCGCATTTTTCCTCTCCCAGCCGCTGTTATTGCTGCTGATTTGCGGGCCGCATGGCGGCATTTCCCCCACATCCTCGCCCATGTTGGCGGAGGCCTCGGCGGCGGATGAAGCGTAAGTGTTCTCCGCACCCTCCCTCCTTGCCCTTGCCAACAGCAGGTGAAAATTGGTCAGCAGATATTCGGTTTTGCTGGATAGGCCCAGGGCCCGCGAACAAGTCAATTAGGGGGCGTGTTCTAATCATCCTTGTCGCCTTGCTTCCTCTCGTTGTCAACGACGCTCGTTAATTTTTCGTACATTTTATGCTAATTTCGTTGCCAGACGCCCGCTTTCCCCGCGGTTTTTATTTTCCTTTCAAGAGAATTCCCTGTAGACACTGAAAGGGGCTTATTGGGCTGCCTTTGGATACTATGTATTTGCGCAGAAGGAAAGATGAAAGCTTTATCGTGTTTACAGCCATTGTTTTCCTTTTGAACATTCAAAGAAGGAAGCGAATCGGATTCAGATAAAGTCTTTGCGCAAATAAGGAGTTTTTGGGAAAGTTAAACAAGGGAAAGAGTGGTGGGAGATGGTTGCCTACACGTTACGACATATATATTATTTTTAAAGCTTTTGTGAATCAACCAAGTCTCTTCTAAGTCTCTGCATTACAGTCATAATGTAGTAACTTTTAGAGTTAAGTATGTATTACATATAAAAGTTTGAAAGTGGTAGATAGTTCAGAGATTTAAATATATTCAAAAACTCTCTACTTTATAGATGGATCTTTAAGTTCAACTGTAACATGATGTTAATTATTTCAATTTTAAATAATACATAACGTTTCAAGATAGTGACCTTTAAGGCACATGAAGCTGCAATTTATTTAGTAGACAAGCTGAGGAAGTTAGGAATAAGTCCACCTGCTAAAAGTAATAAAATATTAAAAATGTCATAAGGTATTTTAAAGGTCGAACCCCTGGTTTTATAGTCTTTTTTTCTCATTTTGCTTTGCGTGTTTAAGCGTTTTGTCTTTTGTCTCGAACGTTTTTATTCTATTTCATTTTGGCGTGCATGCGTGTGTGCGTCAGCATTTTGCTCGACTTTTCTCTCCCTGAATTTTCCCCCATGCTTTTCGCATTTTTGTTTTGGGCCCTAACATTTCATAAAGTCACATCAAAAAATTGTTCGCCTGACATGCTGACTGTTGGGCATGAGCAAACAGGTAGAGCAGGTAGACCTTCCGTCGCCTACTGGCGCTAAATGAATATTTTATTGGACATTTTGTTGGGCCGCGCTAAACATAATGCCGAAAGTTGGGCACTTAATTTAAGTAAATACGGGACCAGCGACCACCGAATTATTTATATTTCTTGGCTTTGCTTTTTTGTGGGTAAACACTTGGTGTTTTGCTTTTAATTAAATATGCGATAAAACGATTTAATCAATTACTGTGCACTTGTTTTAACTTAATTAATGAAATGTTGAACCAAAATGCAAATACTACACCAAATATATATCAAAAAATCGTTCTAAAATATAGAGGCAAACCATTTATCAATTTATTTATGCTTATTCAATTCAAACCCTCAGAGGAAACCGATAAATTCGAAATGAATAAGCAAAACAAATGACATCAGCCACTAACAGATCTAATGACTCATTATTAATAATAATACCAAGGCCAAGAATATAAAAATAAAGTTAATATCCAATTAGCAAACTATATCATGGAACCATAAATAATTCAAAATTTAAGCCTCAAAAATACTTTTATAATAGAAAATTTCCACAAGCAAATTAAAGCTACAAAATAGACACAAACAACATTTTAACAACAGAGCAGATGCAGAAAATAATTAAATTCCTGTTAATAATTAATATTATGATGAATAGAAAATATATAGATAAATAGAAACTTAGATAAATATATAGATGGATATATAGATAGATAGATAGATGGATAGATAGATAGATAGATGGATAGATAGATAGATAGATAGATAGATAGATAGATAGATAGATAGATAGATAGATAGATAGATAGATAGATAGATAGATAGATAGATAGATAGATAGATAGATAGATAGATAGATAGATAGATAGATAGATAGATAGATAGATAGATAGATAGATAGATAGATAGATAGATAGATAGATAGATAGATAGATAGATAGATAGATAGATAGATAGATAGATAGATGGATAGATAGATGGATAGATAGATAGATAGATAGATAGATAGATAGATAGATAGATAGATAGATAGATAGATAGATAGATAGATAGATAGATAGATAGATAGATAGATAGATAGATAGATAGATAGATAGATAGATAGATAGATAGATAGATAGATAGATAGATAGATAGATAGATAGATAGATAGATAGATAGATAGATAGATAGATAGATAGATAGATAGATAGATAGATAGATAGATAGATAGATAGATAGATAGATAGATAGATAGATAGATAGATAGATAGATAGATAGATAGATAGATAGATAGATAGATAGATAGATAGATAGATGGATAGATAGATGGATAGATAGATAGATAGATAGATAGATAGATAGATAGATAGATAGATAGATAGATAGATAGATAGATAGATAGATAGATAGATAGATAGATAGATAGATAGATAGATAGATAGATAGATAGATAGATAGATAGATAGATAGATAGATAGATAGATAGATAGATAGATAGATAGATAGATAGATAGATAGATAGATAGATAGATAGATAGATAGATAGATAGATAGATAGATAGATAGATAGATAGATAGATAGATAGATAGATAGATAGATAGATAGATAGATAAATAGATAGATAGATAGATAGATAGATAGATAGATAGATAAATAGATAGATAGATAGATAGATAGATAAATATTAAGCTGGATTGATATATATTGAGATATATAGATAGATAAATATTAAGATATATAGATTTAAAGATAGATATATACTGAAATATATAGATGGATACATAAAAAGATAAATAGAGAGATAGATATATGGATTTATAAACCCATTATTCTGGAAATATGGTATGGACCAATATAATTTTCCCAGAATTTTTATTTACCTATACAAAATATATATTGGTATAATAATTTAGTTTAAATTTAAAGTAAAATTTATGAAAATAATAAAAGAACCATTGGCATCTTATGTTATATGTAGCTTACCTTATTTGTATTGCTTTCTTACTTATCTCTTTTTAACAATTATCAAAAGTTCAGGAACCTTCTTATGTGGCATAAAAGTACCTAACAAGTGGGGCCCCCAAAACAATGACAGTATCGATACGACGACACAGGAATGTGGCCAAATTAATTGAACAACTCCAGAACGTAATAAAAGTCAGAGAGGCATCATTCAATTCCAACTACCAACAAACGGCAAACAAAAACCAAAACAATTTCTCCGAGCGCCGACCGGGCCAACACACTCGAGTGTGCCTGTGTGTGTGCCTGTGTGAGGTGTGAGTGCGGGTGTGGGCTGCTGGTGTGCATGTGTGCCGTCGGAATAACTGTGTCAAAGGCAACGTCGGCGACAGAAGTGAAATGAAAATGGCCGAAGCAGCGCCGCAGGCAGCGTCGGTGACATCAAAAGCCACGTCAAGAGCGCCCCGCCTCGCAGATACTAAGATACTCATGGATACTGAGCGAAAGAGCGAGTGATTTTATGAATTTGGTCATGCGCAGGCACCCGCTGCCATTAAATGTTTATAATAAACGCCGCACTCACACGCAAGCTGAATTCGGCCAGTGTATATTTCGCTGGGCACTGCAATTTTAATTACTTTCGACTACTCGCCGACCAGAAATATAAATTATTCACCAAAACACTCAAACGCTATGAATGGTTATAGTTCGTAAAAATGTATTGAATATTCGGTGGAAATAAAACCTGGTTTATAAATCGTAAATGAACGCTCTAGAAGAGTGTTTAGACCACAAAAATACTAGGTCCTTAAGGCATTGCATATTTATATATCAAATACTATTCATTCCATCAGTCAGCAATTTATATATTTTAAAATAATATTGTGTAATACAATGTTGTTTTGTTGATTTTTAAATGAGAATAGAGAATAATGCTCTCCGGTGGATAATTTAATTATACCCTTGAACTGTAAGAGACGGATATAAAAATAGGCAGCGTAGAAAATTAACCAATAAGAAAGATATAGTATGGTGTACAAATGAATACTAAAATGATATATAAGACATGATTAAAATAATAATAGTTTTAGTACCTTAGATCACATAAAATATTAACATTTTTGATGAGCCATCACCATCTGTTCATCTGTACATCCATCATTACAGATATAATTCCCAACTGGTTCTAACATCCCTGGATATATGTTTGTACTATTATATGCTATTATATGATTTTTATACATATATGTGAGCTATTAAAAAGTTACTTATCCTTAAAGCAATTCAATCAAATTTTTCACGAATCTAGAGCGTCAAAATTATTTTGAGTGTAGGTAACCATATCAAACTAAAAGTTGCCACTGTACTTCTTGACACCCGACCTTTAGAATCATTTTCTCATAGATCTGTCTTAAGTTCCCGTTAAAATATTTAATGCTTGCATTAACTAATGGAATCGACCCGCTGCACTGTAGGTTCCTAAGAGAGAGAAAACCGTTTAAGAGAATCTGCGAACTAAGCTAAGAACGGAAGTGAGAGAAGATGCGCGCGCCGGCACTTGTTGATTTCTCACGCACACTAACAAGCTGGCACAGCTGTTCGTGGTAAGACGCTGGCGTCGCTGCCAGGAGGACGTGTTGTCACCTCGGTCAGGTGCGAACACACCTCTCGGCTGCTCCCCCACACGCCCGCTTCTCACCATGGGCGGAACATGTGCGCTAATTGAATTAGTGGAGCTCGGACAGGTGGTTGACATTTCGCTTGGGGAATTCTGACGCTGATAAATTGTTGTTTACCGCTCCCTTGGAATATCCTTGCGAAATATCTGATTGAGATTTTAATTGGTGAAAATCCAAAAGAAGCATAATAACGTGGGATTACATACTCTAGGGGGTTTTGAGTATTTAATCCCTAAGTTCTTTTTTAACAACTAAGCATAAAAATATATACTATACTAACTATATTAATTGTCTTTCCATTGCAGAGTCGGAAAATGGGCCACGGAGTTTGGGGACGAGCTGTTTCTGCTTGCCCAGAAGATAACCAAGTCGCAGGAAATCAAGGAGAAGTATAAGGAGTACAATGCTCGAGTGGAGCTGAAGAACGGCACCGAGCTGATCAAATCGATCACGGCCAACGTGGCCAAGATGCTGGCCCGGAAGGTGAATGCGGTGCGCTGCATTCAGAGGCAGGCGGAGGAAGAGTACGAGACTTTCAAGTTCAACCGTTCCTACGCACTGCAGAACTACTCATACTACTCCAGCAAGTACTCCACCTTTAATGGTAACAGTTCCGAGACTCTGGAGCCGAATGAGGCTGAGTTCGCGTGGATGTACACCCCCATGGAACTGAATCCTGACTCGCACTTCTACAACACGCCGGTGGACACTGAGCACAGTTCGGTGCACGTTCCCTCGAACGTTTGGGATCGCTCCGACCGAGTTCTGAAGACCATCATGTGGTCGGAGCAGCTAGACGAGGTATTCAAGAGGAACTACAAGTCCGATCCGGCCCTGTCGTGGCAGTACTTCGGCTCTGATACGGGCATACTGCGGCACTATCCAGCGTCTCAGTGGACAGACATAAGGCCGAATCGCATGGATGCCGATACCTACGACTGTCGGAAGCGATCTTGGTACATTGAGACGGCCACCTGCTCCAAGGACATCGTCATCCTGCTGGATCACTCCGGATCAATGACAGGTTTTCGCCACCACGTGGGAAAATTCACCATCCGTAGCATCCTGGATACGTTCTCGAACAACGATTTTTTCACCATCTTCCGCTACTCGGCGGAGGTCGAGGACATCATCCCCTGTTTTAACGGAGCGCTCGTCCAGGCCACGCCCGAGAACATCGAGATCTTCAACGAGGCCATCGCAAACCTGCCGGATCCGGAGGGCTATGCCAATCTGACGCTGGCATACGAGAAGGCCTTCCAGCTGCTGCACTCCTACTTCGATAGCAGGCACTGCAATGCCAACTCAACGTCTAGCTGTAACCAGGCCATCATGTTGGTCACCGACGGCGTCGCCGGCAATACTACCGAGGTCTTCCAAAAGTACAACTGGGGCAGCGGCGAGAACGGTACCTGGCACATGAACGTGCGCATCTTTACCTACCTGCTGGGCAAGGAGGTGACCAAGGTGCGCGAGATCCAGTGGATGGCCTGCCTAAACAGGGGCTACTATTCGCATGTCCAGACCCTTGACGAGGTGCACGAGGAGGTGCTCAAGTACGTGGACGTCATTGCAACACCCCTCGTTCTGCAGAACACAGCCCATCCACCCACATGGACTCACGCCTTTACGGATAAGACGGTGAGTGGGAACTTATTGATTGACTTTTGCAATATAAAGATCGATAGCTAAATATATATATTTGACATCACTAGTATGATCCAAAGACCTCTGATGAGCGAAGACCCCGTCTTATGATAGCTGTGGGCGTGCCAGCATTCGATCGATCCTATCTCAATGAGAACAGCACCAACACGAGGGCACGTATGCTGGGCGTAGCTGGGACAGATGTGCCTGTGGAAGATATAGACAAGCTGACATTGCCCTACAAGGTAAGAGACTATGGATAAACTATTTAGGATTATGGTAGCTTATTCTTAATTCCCTTCAGCTTGGAGTCAACGGTTACTCCTTTGTGGTGTCCAACAACGGATATGTCTTGCTGCATCCTGACCTGCGACCAATGGGGGTAAGTCTAATCTTAATATAATGTTTTACATACATTTTTCAATTAATATTAATTCCTCCTCCACACAGACAAATGGCAAGATGAATCCGAATTACAACAGCATCGATTTCACTGAAGTTGAGCATCTATTCGAGGATGAAAATCCCCGAGAGCCTGGCGATACCATCCTAAACATTCGCAACGCCATGGTGCGGAACCAGACCAAGCAGTTCAAGGATGTATCCGTGAAGTTCCACTACGACACAATGCGTCGCGTCTCGGAGGAGAAGCAAGACTACTTCTTCGCCCCTCTGCCGGATACCCCGTTCACCTTGGGCATCGTTATGCCCAGCGAGTACGGCAAGACGTGGATCAAGGTGGGCGAGGAGGTGTCTAAGAATACGCACATGAAGATCAATATATCGGATTTCTTCATCGGCGAAAACTGGAAGGTCCATCCCGATTGGTGGGTGAAACGCTAGTTCTCAGTGAAGAAAAAGGTCTAAACAAAATCGTATCATACACAGGGTCTATTGCAAGTATCACTATCTGGAGGGACACGAGTTCAAGACACCGGAGGCGGAGCTGCGGGAGTTTCTGGGCAAGATGGTGAAGAAGGATTGGAAATGGTCAGAACAGTATGCCGAAGACGAATCCGATAGAGATATAAATGATGACCGTACGTAGATAAGTCTGCTGCTGATTAGCTTTCTTGGTCCACTTTTCTTCTGACACAAGCAATCTCTCCTTTTCAGTGAACTGCGGCCGCCAAACACTAGGCGACGATGCCTACTACTGCAACACGGAGCTGGTGCATCTGCTGGTCTTCGACGCCAAGGTAACCAACTCCAGCTACGGCGAGTGGAAGTTCGAGAACGAGGAGGAGCGCCAGCTGATCAAGCGCTTTGGAGCAGATCTTCGCTTTGTGGCCACGATGAGCGGCCTCACCCGGTGGCAGTTTATCTTTGGGGAAGTGGAGGTAGACACGGATCGGGAGTTCGGTGACTACCACACCAAGGCCATTGACGAGACCTGGTACAAAAGCGCCATCCTGCAGCACCATGAGGACCGAACAGAGAGCTTTGTATACTCCGTAAAACACTACAACGATCCGATGGAGGACAGCGAAGTAAAGGTCACCGCCTCGCACGCGATCTTCCCAAGGGACGGTGGTAAGGAGGCGCCCGCCTGCGTCGTAGGGTTTCAGTTCTCCCATGCCCTCATGTGGGAGAGGTTCTTCAACATCACCGCCGTGGATCATGTAAGAAGAAGTCCAGGCGTCCAAAAAAATTACCTTAAAAAATTGATTTAAAATCCTTTATACAGTGCAACCGTTGCCTGCCCATCTGTACGGATGACGACGTGGACTGCGTGGTCATCGACAACAATGCCTACATTGTGATTGGCCAGAACATCAACACAACTGGTAAGTTCTTTGGCGAGTTCCACGGCGACGTGATGTCTGCGATGGTGGAAAGGGGCATCTTCCTGAGCATCGCCGTCTACGATTACCAGGAGCAGTGCAAGGAGGAGCCAAAAACGAACAGTGATGCCCATGGTATCCTGCATGTAAGATATGCACAAATTTTGTACTTTTCTGTATATATTTGTATTATTTCGATTTAAAATTTCCCATTAGCCCCTTCGATTGTTAAGTCTTGGCTGGAAGTGGTTAGTGGGTCATCTCTTCTTTCAGTATCAAAGGATTCAGTGGTGGGCAGATGGAGCACCATGTAAGTGTTACAATTCAAAACAAACTTTTATCAGTAAATAATCTCTCAATGATCGTTAGTCATGGAATACACCGACGAAATCGAGGACGAGTACGTGGCCGTGGGCGACGGCGGCAAAGCTTCGGCTTCCAAGCCGAAGGATGACGGCGACGATGAGAATGCTTTGTTTAAGGAACCCGAACCGGATCCCATCTATAAGCCCTGCGACATGCGCTCCACGCTGTACGCCCTGGAGCCCAGTGCCTTGGTGGGCATCAATGACTGGGTGGAGCCACCCTCGACCCGCCCCTTCTTGGTTAAAAAGATACCCAACTCCAATCTGCTGCTGGTGGTTGTCAACGTCCTGATGCCATCGCGCAGTGTCCGCCTGACGACCGAGCCACAGCGCTTGGAGTACCCAACGGAGTTTCCCTGTTACAAGCTCAACATGAGCTTCTACGAGCGGCGACGCATCGAGGAGTGCTACACGGAGCACGAAAATGTAAGTAACCTGAAGGGTAAGGGAAAGGGGATTGGGAATGTATAGATATATTGAATGGAAAAGTGTGATATAATGTATTAATTCAATATCGAAAATATCGTGAAAATTAATATATCGATACTTAAAATATCGAAAAAATCGATTGAATAAAAAAAAAATTATTTAAAATAGATTTCTGAAGTCCTGATAAATTTTTAATAATTTCTTAATGGATATTCAAAAATATGCACCTCTCCAGCAGTCATAAGAGAATGATGTGTTTTGTCTATGATTTATCTATAACTATCGATATCTCTTCTAATTTTATTTTCAGGAGGAACTGTACACCTATTGCGGCAATGCCTCGCGGCTGGGTTTGACGCTTCAGCTGCTGCCGCTGACCATGATTTTGATGTTTTACTTGACGCGCTGCTTTATGCGCTAGGGGATATATACACACACAACTACTTATACTATACAACAACTACGATGTACTTACTACACGCGACTACGATCGGTTTGTTGTCCTTATATGAATATATTTTTGTTTTATATAGATTGTAAACTATACTATGCCGTAGTCCAATGTTTAACAAGAATGCAACCAAACCAACACAGGCACAATCTTCTTAACTAAAAACCAATTTTAGCAAGAACAACTTCAACTCTTAGACTTACAAACCGCGCCAAAAGTTACTTAATACTTTATACAAAAATGTAGCGAATTGAGAAAAAGGCAACTTACAGACCAACCCCAAAGGAAGCCCCAGCGGATCCTTCAACTATTTCTCACGACTATTAAATAATGCTACGTTATGTTATTTATGTGCAACCCAAGTGCATACATAACGCCTATAGCTTAAACCCCACGTTTCATAGACAATTTTGATAGTTTATTATGGTACAACCAAAGCCAAATATTAAAAAAAAAAACAAAACACAAAATAAACGAAATACCAAAGAAATTGTAAAAGAGAACAAAAATAATTCTAATAACAATTATTTTTGTAATTTTATAAAGCTTAGTTGTTTGTTTTTACAACAATAAAAGAGTAGTTATTGTATAATACGAGTAAATGATAAAACATAAGACACATGCACTTACTCTTATTATTGCAATGGAAAATAATTACTTAAATTCGTTGATTTTTTGTTACAGCCCCCAAAACGGTTTAATTATAGATACAAAACGGTTTTTATACGGGATAATAATTAATGTTTACTGCAAGAAGATACCTACCATGTATTTCCTCCTGTTTTGTAATGTGTATTTTTATTGAATTTAATGTTTTAAAAACGGCCAAGTTGACGGAGCAGTCAACGTCGAACGCGCGCACAGATTTTTTAAAAAACAAATATAGGACCACCTGTAAAGTATCTAATACTTGTTCGATATTGAGTTCGATAAACCATCTATGATTTAAAGCTCTTTTCTGGCCTTAGAATTAGTCTGGAAGCATTAGCAAGATCTACACATAAAGATGGATAAACCAAACAAAAATTGAATACTAAAACCTAATTGCCTTTGTATCGTATTTCAAATGTGGAAACAATTTATGAACTTCATGAATTTATGCATAGAAAAAATATAATAATATTATATTATTATGAAGAAGACAATTTAAATTAGGATTATTTTCAAGGAAATGAAATCAAAATGAAGACGGCGTTTTTAAAGCTGAGCTAAGATGCTAGAGAAATGAATGGAAATTTGAAAACAGTTAACTATTAAATGTAATTTTTTAAACAAACTGAATTACTAATACAACATTTATTTTTTGGAGTGTTTAAACGTTGTAAAATGTATAAAAAAGAAACATTACGAAGATATGTAAATCTAGTCATAATGGTATACGTGGATTTGCTGCGACTTCATCCAATTAATATTCATCTCTATGAGTTTCGGACTCCTTTTAATCGAGTTTTATTCAATTTCGACACGTATACACATTTTATAAGACATGTCCACTAAAACTAAAAACTGTAAACATTTTAAAAAATTTCCTTAGCAAAATAAATAAAGTAATCGTCGACGAAAGTCTTTTATTATTATCTATTTTTATTTATTTAGTAAGGGTAGCGGTGTTTTTTTGCCAAAAAGAAACCGGAATGGTCTTATCGAAAGTTTAAATGATATTTTCGATTTATTTACAATTTAATATCGATGTATCGGCCTTGGAAATCGATATTTATCTATCCCCATTTAAATAGAAGTTAGATAGTTTTTATCTATTAAACCTGGTTGTCATGAAAATATTCGTACATTTTTTTAGGTCTATCCAACATAAATATTTTCACTTATGGCAAATTTTTATCATAAATAAAAAATATTGCCAGATGGATACTGAGAAGTATATATTTTTTCAATAAGGTATAAAAACTTCGATATATTTTTCTTATTGTGATGATAATTTTCTGTGAAATTCAAGCTAATGTATATTCTCTCTATTTTCTGTAAACACCACGTCATCTGTATTTACTTTTCCATTTAAAATTGTCAAAGCTTTCACTACTCCCCCAAAAAACACTGTTCAAATTCAAACAAAAAGCAGGGGCGCGCGAATGCGCGAGTGTGCCCGCCGTTGAGTTTGGTCTAGCCCTGGAACGAGGAATAGGTAAAAGGCGCCAATGAATTTGCCGCTAAAGCCGAAACGAAAACTGTCAAAAAGGCGGAGAGACCTCCAGGAAACGTGAAAAATAAAGTGCTTGTGCTGGCTAAAGCCAAAGTTAAACCGAATAAAACCCCAAACAGCGACGATTAGCGGTGTCCAGTGAGTTTATTTACATAATTACAGCTGATATTTGCGTACAGCTGACCGCGAAACTTTTTGCAGATGGCCAGCAAGCGGCTGATGCTCGACTTTGAAGTCGGCGAAGATGGAGAGACAGCGAGGGCATGCGACCAGGTGGACGAGAGCCAGGAGAGCGTGGCCCCACAGGCAGCCAAGAGGGTGAAGGGGCCACTGGGAACACCGCTGCAGCGCCTGCTCAAGTCCAGCGGCTCCACCATCCTGTCGCCCATCACGGAACTGGCGCAAAACATGCGTGGTGCGCGCCTGGAAGCTGGTGGCGGCGGCGGCACGCCCAAGTCCACCCAGAGAAGCTTCCACAGCACATCGTCCAGGGCCCTAAGCAGCTTCAACAGCTACGACTCGGGCAACTCGCTTGACGACGAGTACATGGCCATGTTCGAGCTGGAGGAGGACGAAGATCAACAGCTGGGGCTGCCCGGCAACCTAGAACTGCTCATTACCGGCCAACTGAAGGCGGAGCAGCAGCAGCAACAACATCCCGAAAAAGGCGAGTCACAAAAGCGGTCGTTGCGCCGCTGTCTGAGCTTGTTTCCCAGCGAGGATGACTCTCAGGAAAAAGTTCAAGGTCCCACACCGTCCACGAGGAAACTGCAGCGCAAGACGCTTTCCATGAACGATGCTGATATCATGACCGCCCTGGGTGACGAGCCGGAACTGATCGGGGATCTGAGCAAACCATGTGCTCTGCCCTGCCTGCTAACCGGCACCCGCCATCGCGATTTAAAGACGATTTCCGGAGAAACACTGGCCCGCCTCATCCAGGGCGAGTTTGTCGAGCAGCTGGGCACTGGCGGTGACTACCAGATCATTGACTGTCGCTATCCGTACGAATTTTTGGGCGGACACATACGCGGCTCTAGGAATCTCTATACACGCGGCCAAATCCAGGATGCCTTTCCCAGCTTGACGCACAAGGACGGGGAGCAGCGTCGCATCTATGTGTTCCATTGTGAGTTCTCCTCAGAGCGGGCGCCGAAGCTTCTGCGCTTTCTGCGCAACAACGACCGCAGCCATCACGCATCCACCTACCCGACGCTTGACTATCCGGAGCTGTATCTGCTGCACAATGGGTACAAGGAGTTTTACGGCTCGCATGCCGACCTGTGCGAGCCGCGCCAGTATGTGCCCATGTTGTCGCCGGCTCACAACGAGGAGTTCCGTTACTTCCGGGCCAAGACCAAGTCGTGGCAGAGCGGTGAGAGCGAGGGCGGCGACAGTGGTATCGGTGGCGGAAGCGCCCGCCCTCTACGCAAGTCACGATCTCGTCTGCTGTATGCCGACGGAGAGGATTAGAGCTTCAGGGATTTAGGGATTAAGAAGGAATATCCAAACTCAAACAACGTTATTTTCTAATTGGAATTATTGGTTTCGTTTCGTTGCGTTTTTTTTTTTTTGTCAATGTTGAATACTATATTTTATGTTGTTTCATTTCTTTAAGTTTAAATATCAGTCCAGTGTCCAAAATAAAATTAAAAATAATTATAGAAAAAGGGAACGAGAAACCAAACAAAAAAAATCTAGTCGGTTGAAAATTAGAATCTTGAAATTATTTCTCGTTTACCTTCCATGTTCAAAACTTAGAAGTCATATTTTTAAGGTATATTTTATGATAAAACCTTTTTTTAAGTTACTTATTATAAGCATTAATTTTACCGCAAGGATAACTCGTGAAGAAACCCAAAGAAATGCAGTGATTTTTACATTTTTAAGAACAAATTCGAAATTAATTTTGTATGATTAAAAAAAATAATAATATAAATAATAATAATATAATGTTAACACACTAGAAACTACATAATTAATTAAATTAAACAAATGCTTTAATCGCAAATAACGATTAAATTTAAGAACTATTTACCAATTAATTGTATCTTAAGAAATTATTGAAAAACCAGATTTATAAGAACAAAAGATAAATTTAAGCAACTAATGAAATTATATACAAATGTAAAGATTATTTATTTTCAAAACAAACGTAATTAAATATAATTTTTTTATTATTCACCACAACCGAAAAAAAAAATCAACAAAAGTGTATACATTTGTGAACCATTAATGAATTTATTTATATAATTAAGGAAAAATTATAAAGTGATTTCTAGTTAGTAAAAAAGAGAAAGAAATGGTTTAATTATTGCATTCCAAAATTTAAGCAAATAATCAAAATAGCAGTACTAACTTTAAATTTATTTATAATATAAAAATATAACTGAGGTAGATGGAAAACGAATCAGTAATTCTATACCATTAAATGAAATATACCTCATCTTATAAGTACAGTCTCCTTTTTTTTTCAATCGTTTAACCAAATGTATTATTAACAATGCCAATGATTTATAAAATAAATAAAATTAAGTTTCAATTACATTTAAGGAAAATCATTGCTTTTTTTATTTTATATTACAGCTGTGGATAGTATAAAATTATAAAATTAAATAAAAAAAAAAAACACAATGAATAAGAACTAATCTGCCAGCTTGAGAACCTTCAAGAAAAATTTGTGTCAAAAACTTACAGCGTTACGCTGCTTATACTTATATTACTTAGGTTGTGTTATACAGTTATCCCTGTTTATTTGCATATAACCTACTCAAAATTATAAAATAAATCCTCTTAGTTTCAAAATTACAAATGTAAAGACAACTTTTGATTTTTTTTGGGTAATATATTTTGAAAAATTCTTTACAAAAATATTTTGTTGTTTTTTAAGATTCGAGACATGTCGACATCTGTTAGTGTTTACAGAAAAAGGACAAATGAATTTCACATCAACTCGGATTATCTGAGCTGTCAAACCTTAACAAAATAATGTTATTTTTAAGAAAAAGAGGCACGACTTGAGCTTGGCTCAAAGTACGACGAAATAACAATTAATACAGTTGCCTTTTCGGATTAGTTCTAGAAATATTAAAGTCTAATCCTCGGTGTTGGCTTCAAAGGGTGCCTTGCAGCCGGCCTTATCGTAGAACTCCAGGGGCAGCGGATCCTCATTGGTATAGTAGTCCGAATCGCGAGCACAGCTTGGCCCCAATTCCAATTTGACCATCTTCTCGCGCCAGAAGTCGAGGAGCTCCCGTGTAAGCACCTCGTCGCGCAGCTTGACAATCCACTCATTGTAATCTTGGGGTCCATAGAAGCCAGCGTCGCCCTTGTACTCCTGCAGCAGCTCGGCAGCCTTGTCCTGGTCGGCCTGCGAAGGCACGCCATCAAAGAGCAGCTTCCAAATGATTTCCCTTGCTGCGGCGGCCACTTTCTTCACACTCTCCTGATGCACATTGTCGGGCACAATGATTTTGGTCAGCACAAAGCGCTTCATCAGGGTGCGGTATTCCTCAAGAGGGTTCTCCTTGGTCAACACGGCTTCAAAGTCGCCGGAAAGAGCAGCGGCATCGTCGGCACTTAGCTCGCCGGGAGTACTCGGCTGGGCTGCTGCTTGTTCTTCCTGATCCAGCGAGGCCTGGTGTTCGAAGGCGGCTCGCACCTTGAGGCTGGCCGCAAATGGAGCCGTGCACCCGGCATGGGCGTAGAACTCCAGCGGGGGCGTGTCATCGCTGTCGAACAGGTCACAATCACGCGACCAGCAAGGGCCCAGTTGCTGCTTTACGACGGTATCGCGCCAGAAATCCAACATTTCTCGCTTAAGGAGCTCGTCACGCAGCTTGACGATCCACGAATTGTAGGGAATCGGGTCGTAGAAGCAAGCGTCGCCTCTATATTCCTCAAGCAGCTGCTTCGCCTTCTGCTGCCGTGAGTCATCCTCACCGTCCGCTTTGGCTGCATCGGTGAATAGCAGCCGCCAGATGACCTCACGCGCAGCTGCAGCCGTTCTATTAAAATTCTCCTTGGTGATCTCATCTTCGACGATCTCGTCCACCTGAACCCGCGTCTCGATCAGCTTCTGGTAGTCTTTCACCGGATCCTCCAAGCCAATTGTATAGTCATTCTATTAATCATCAGAAGAACGTATTTCATTATTTGCTCAGGTGTGCGATTCTCCTAGAGTTTTCGCTCACCAGTGACAGTTTCTCTGCCGTTGCCGCCATTGTTTCACCTTCCGTCTCTTCGGCCTTGCGCTTGGACATGCCCTTTTTGTTCGACTTGAATCTTTTATCTCGCTTTTCTTGCACTTTTTAAATTATTGTCGAATAGCAAAATAAACTCGTATTGCTCAATATATCGAGGTTTATATATTTGCAATAATATCGATTTATCGGAGTATCGATATATTGGAGTGGAATCGGTTATATACTCGATTGAACTATATTTAATCATGCGATACATCGATATACGTTTTCAGAATCGACTTGTTTAAACAAGTTCTATCTCGTGGAAAACTTAAGTACATATAAGTATTTCAAAGTTAAGTGATCGATTTTTTAACTTATGTTTTAGCTGTTAATTTCATGATAGTCTTAAGACACTAGCCAACCCATCGGTGCTATCGATTAATCGAATGTGTGTTACATCGGTCCTACTTCCACCACTAACCACTAATTTTGTGAATTGTTAGCAAGTCGCTCTGCTTAAATTACACCCTGAAATTGGTGGATACACATGTGAATTGTATAATCCAGTGACATAGAATCCTTTCGAATAACGCTAAGAAAAATTATTAGCAACGCCCTGTTAAAATCGTAGACCATTTGATATTCGCCTTGCCCGACTCTGCGTGTGTGTGTGTGACTTTGCGACAAAGAAATTTGAGGTTAAGCATTTCGCCCACGGCAGCAAACGGATTCGGAGTTAATGTCGCCCATAAGCAATCAATTGCCAATTACATTTAACATAAAACACTTTTAGTCCCAGTTGAGAACAGTAAAGGCCAAATTCGTGGTCGAGCAGACAAGCCAAGTGCATTCGTGGAACTCCTGTCTGTGAGAGTCGCTGTCAGTGTGTGATTGTGTGTGTGAACGTGAATTCAATTTTCGCGTGCACGAAAAAGCAACGAAAAAGCTTCAAAAGTTATACTCAAATGTGTATGGCAATTGTGGTAAGTGTATTTGGCTTTTCATTGCAGCCATTTTCCCATTTTACAAATTATAAGCGATAAGAAAAACCGTACCTTTCCACTCACAGAAAAGGTGTGTGTTTGTGTGCGTTGGTATTTGGGGCCCAGCCTTTTATTACGCTACCTGGCACTGAAAGTAGAGTGTAAGGGTATGCAAGAGTCGTTGCAATAAATGTTGCTGTTTATAAGGAATATTATTATTTTTTTTTTGTGTTTAATAAACTTTTTGGTTTCATGTTAAAGGCATTACAACAACTAAAATTTGGCAATTTTGAATATAATTTATTTTTCTGTTGATAAAATCGATACCCTATTAAATGCCTAAATTACTATCATATTAAATGGCAATAAGATATGGAATCTTTTCTTAAACTTAAATTTTATAAAATTTATTTTTATAACTTTTTTAACATTTTTCTCTAAATAAACCAACCTATTAAAATCCCGCATATACCCGATAGAATCTTTTGATTATACCAATATCTAAATAAATGCTATAAAAAACGACCTAGATGACTTTAATCATTTCGGAATCATTTCATTATTTTATTTTACCTGAGATCATTTAATGCTCGAATAATATCAATAAAACGAAGGAAAACAATTGTAACATCTTATGTAAATGTGTGGCTTTTACGGAAAATGGTCCTTTGTGAGCATGAAATTACACTTATTGCGCCGCATGACGTTGCCAATTGAAAGTAAATGTCAGCTTACTGCCGCTGACCCAGTTTATCATCCGAATGGAACTAGGACAGGCCAGGAATTGTTTGCGCCGCCCCAGAAAAACTTCGAACATCGCTCTACATTCTCGCCTTTTCCTTTAATTTCTTTTCTGGCCATTTCTCTCTTTGCTCCACACAATACGTCATTCGGGCACGTAAACTCAGATATATATCTAATCTGTGAATACATTTTAAACAGATTTATCATATCAAAGAGTGGGAGAGAGGACAAACAATAAACAAAAGACGTAGGAGAGCAAAAATTTCGAGCCAAATAACCAAATCAGTTCCCATTTTATACTGAGCAACCGTGGACGCAGAGTTATCTAGTGGAATGATATTTTTTGCACTCATAATTTTCGCCTTTTTGTAATCAGTTGCTCAGTTACTTAACAAGGTTCGGTGCTTTGATTTAACTTTTATCTCTGCCCTCTTACGCCGGAACACACTGGTGGTCGCCGGTATTTATATATTTATCGCGATGTTTGCCGATCGGTTCAACCTGAACTTATCAGTCAATTGCGTCAATTGGAATTCAAAGAGTGAGAAAGCCGGTGGTCAAAAGGCAAATAGCGATACAACTCTCTTCTCTTTGGTTTCCGTTCTGTGGCTTCTCTCATCAATGGGTCTTGTCCTTGAAAAAGTTCAATGATATTGCCTGGTCGAAAAAATATCATTTATTTCAAGTGTTGATCTTACGTTTTTAAAATTCCTTTTTCTCATAAGACGCAAAGATAACCCTATCGAGAGGAAGAAACTCCCGGTTATATCAAGACAAAATTTATTTCACAAATAACATCAGAAAAAAATTCATTAATTAACAAACTGTTTACATCACCATGATAATTAAGTTGTAAAGAAAAATCCAGTATACTTTTCAATAACTTTTCCGTTCCACATAGAGGAAGATAAGTTTATATATAATTCAAGAGTACCCATTTATTTTTTGTCTTATCTAAAATCCACACTTGATGAAGTCTTGCTCAAGTTTAATCAACATTGATATTACTCTCTGCTGAAATGATACGAGCTTATGTATTACGCATATGTACACACATATTTCCTTCTTCTTTTTTGTTCATCAGGCAGTATTCTTGCCTCCAGTTCTTAGCATTTCGATCGTCATGTTCTGGGTTTATCTGCTTTCTGCCAGTTTTCAAGTATTCTATATTCTTACTCATACGAGTGCGAGAGCCAAACATTTGTATATCAATTGAATACTTCCAACTATGCAGCCGAATTTATGGTCATTTAATTGCCACCAATTAGCTTAAGGTCATTTCGATTGATTAAAATTGATTGGGGTTCGAAGTAAGTTTCTCAAACACTCCAATTTTTAACTTCAAGCGAAGCACTCGCTAATTAGAGCTTATAAGTTCGAATGAGAGTTGGGTTTTTCTGAATACTTTTCCTGGCTATAATTCATAGCCGTGTATTATTTTTACTGCTGTCACGTTTTGGCAGCTTGTGTGCAGAATTTCACCAATACATGTCATTTCTAAATATAGACCAAAAACAAACAACAAAGCATGCAATACGATTTACAAACGTCAGTAGGTGAAGGGAGGCAGATAGGAAAGTGCCACCGCCCACTACCACCGTCCTCCCTCGGCGACAACCACCAACGGATTCTATATATAGTGCGATAAATGTTGTGCGGTTTGTCCTCAATAGTTTGCCCTGCCCTTGGCTAAAGCGAAATAACAAAAACTGAATAGTAAGACGACATTTTGTTAGGGTAATTTTTGTCAAAATCAACCTTGGAAGAAGACAAGCGATTTGTGGCAGGGAGACATGCATTTGATAATTGCAATAACAAGATGATTGTTTACCATCAGTGGAGTATAGGACTTATAGGACCCTACTTCTTGGCTACGCCCCTGATTAGTCTTTTTTATCAAAACAAACAGCAACAGCCGGTCTCTGGCTTCCTCTCCGCTTTTCTGGTTGAGAGCAAATACAATAAAAACACGATGACGCATAAAGATACCTTCAACCACCAGTCTCATGACTCGTATGTGAATATATGTATAATATTATATTAAATGATAAAATTAATATATACACCAACTTATATTCAATAAATAAGAGTAAGAATTAAAAGAAAAAAAAAGCTTATTAAAACTAAAATTTAACAGATAAATTGGTGACTCGCGAGTCAAGTACCACTGGTTTAAATACAGGATTTATTGATTAAAATCCTTTCATATTTTATATTCGCTTTGTCTAAAAGCTTTTGCCGTAAAATATTATTATATTATAAATTCAATTTAATTTAATTGGTAGTTCACAACTATCGTAAATATGTGACAACCCTCGGACTAGAGCTTCCGCTTCCTGCCCATCTCCTAGTACGGTGCAGACGGAAAGTTCTTCCACGAATTCGAAATTTCCATTATGGCGAAATAACGAAATCAAGGATGCGAGCTAGGAGGCGGAGATCCACCGCCTCCATTAGTCGCAAAATCAATAACTCGTAACTTGGACTCAGTATGCCTTTGAGTCTGTTGTGGTGCACAAAGCGAAGTATTTTTTGTCGGATTTTTGCGGTTTTTGTGTTGTCCATGAGTTTTAATAAGTCCTAAATGGCAAAATGTCTGTGAGTGTGTTCTTAACGTGTTTGTTTGTTTTATTAACTTAGGTAAGCAAAACTTTGCCATGCCTAATAGATTACTTTTCTAAAAAGTTTGGGATTTTTAGCAAAGTTTTAAGGTGGAAAATAAGGAAAGGTCCAATAAGTTGTACAAGTTGGGTCAACTAGTCGTAATAGTAACTTTACAACGTCCTAAGGAAGATCATCCCCCTTAACTGAATTTTATCATTGAGCCCATAAATTTCTCCCTTATGGGAAAAATATTTTCTTTAATAATTAGTTACATTTGCTTTCTCAATTTCGTGTTGTTTAGTCTTCTAGTTTTCTTTGCAACTGTTGCAAAAATATATATCCATCCGATTTGATTTCGATAATTGTTTGCACTTGCGTGTCTGCGTTGTGTCTGGCTTTGCTTGCTGATACAGCACGTTTCTCGTTTTATATTGACAACTGCAGACATCGGCTTAGTCGTGCTGAAACTTAAATGACAGTTGCCATCATCAAATTTCACGCCGTTTTTATTTGTTTACTATGATTTATTTGTTGCGCTTTGTAAAAACAGGCATAAGGCAACTAGTTTTTGCATATGCCCCGCTTGTTTTCTAAGAATTACTCTTAAATACAATGCATATACAAAAGAATTAGCCTGCAAATTAATTCAAAGGAAATCAAATAGAAGTTCTTTAAACCGAAGTATAAAGCTAGATAGTCAAAATACTTGAAACTCAGTGAATACTCAAACCACCAACCTTCCAAAATGATGAATGGATGAATAAAATGTACCTTTACCTTTGTTTTTTTACTTATTGTCTCGAATTTTTTTGGTTTTTGCTTGAGTTCTTTGTCCCTTGTCTGCTTTGCAGTATAAGTAAATGCCACCGACCTGTTTTTGTCTGGTCCTTGTCTCGAGGAATTTCAACCAACTTCATCCTAGACTTAACGCAGCTGCTACCCCAAAAAAAAAAAGGCTTTGTGAAAGCTAATTTTCAGCCCAAGGGTAAACATTTTAATTATATTATTATTGCCATCTAAGGCGGGTTTTGGGATATAAATTACTGATGAATATTTCTTGTCTTAAATTGTTTATTAGCTAGCAATTTACCCAAATATTAAATTAAATAAAATCGCATAAACAGCATTTAAAACTTTTAAATGTATAAATCGTATAAAATAACTTGCTCCTTTTTCCCTTCCTATTAAAATTATAAAAATGAAAAGATACGTAAAATAGATAGATAATAACAGTTGGAATCAGCTGCAGCTTTCATGTGCAAGTAAATGATATCGAGCTTTCCCAAATCCAGCCATGAGATTAAATTGTATCTACATCGAAATGCAGTCGAGTATGACGAATATATGTATAAATACATACCTAACATATAGTAAATCTATTGCGACAATTAGCTATTATTGTAGTCATGGCATTTGCCTACATCTTGATTAGGTTTAACTGACTTTAATATAAGACCATTTTTATATTAAGTTACAAGTTGTGCGCGGCTCTAGCCTTGATTAACTGTGCATATAATAAACCGCATTAAGCGTTGTTTATTGCCCTTAAATAACAACTGACCTTGGAGCTCCCGCAAAGGTTGGTTCTACCTGTAAAAGTTCCTTTAGTGATTTTTGTGTGCTTTAAAGGTTTAATTGGTTGAGAACTGAAGTGAGAAAATAGTCTGGTAAATTAAATATATGAGATTGTAAGGGAATAATTTATAAATACTATTATAAAATATTTAAACAAATGAAAGCTGGATGATTAACTTTTCCTTTCATATCAGTTAATGAACTATAAGAAATGTATAAATTTATTTTATTATATTTATGTTTCTTATTTGATTTATTTTTTAAAAATAAATGCACACTTTCTTAATTTTGCTATAAAAGAAAATTAATATTTCAAAATGTATCATTTTGTATTACGTTATTTTCTAAAACATTTAAAAAATATTTAATTAAAAATTTAATAATTTTTACATAAGCTTAACAATTTGGATATCGAAACAATACCTGTTCCGGCCTATCGTTGCTATCAGTTCTGCCACCACTGTTTTTTGTACAACATCCGTTTTAAAGAGCTTTAAATATGCAGCAGACTGTAAAATCATTTTGGGGGGAGTCGAGGATGCGCGGCACCCAGGGGGTCAGCGAGAGCACCTATACATTGGCACAGCTCACCGCGTGAATGAAGAGTGTAGAGATGTGCGTCATGGGAGCCGTGCCAAGTGAACTGAGCGACTGGCGTCACGACTCTCTCTGCCACTCCTGCCGCTCTTTCTCTTTCTCTATTTCTCGCCGGCAGTAAGTCTCCACAGTGGGGGCCGTACATATGGCGAACGATGAGTTGCCAAACGCGACAGTCGATAGCAAAACATGAGAGAGTGCTCATCGCGCATCAATACGCGTCTGCCTAGTGGAGTAATCGTTATCGATCAACGGCTCAGAATCGACACTTGTCGATACTTAATCGAGATCCTATCGCGCCGCATCACGGGCGACTAACTGTGGTAATTACCTTTTTTTTCCCCCCCTATCCGCCAGAACGCGATCTCCACCAGTAAGTCTCCAATGCGAGAGACCACCGTATATATGTATGTACATATGTTGCGAGATGTCTGTTGGATCTCCTCAGTTGCCATAAAAAGCTTGGAGAGTGCTCGTCGATCCGGCTGATAAACGGCGATAAAACCGATCGGCGTCTTCCAAGCTCAAACTGACACCTGACACTGAAGCCCATATCTAATCGGGATTCCAGTTGTAATCAGTAAACCATCAGTTACTTAGAGTTCATATTATATGTGTATAACTTGCTAAATCATTACATATATATTATTAGCGTTTGTGTGTGACTTTTTAAATTCGCCAAGACGCAAAACACAAAAAATACATTGCATAAGTCAGTAAAATAGCATCAACAAAAAGTGCTTTTGTTGTCCGAGGAGGTGTCATGGGGTAAACATACTCATACACGCTCGGAAATATCTAGTATGTACTAGTCCGATATAAGTATATATATATACACATGCCAGCAAGTGAAAGTTTTCTACCGAGTTCTATCACAACAAACAGGCGTCTGGTGAAAAGTTCGCCGTGCTCTTTTTTTGCGCCCTCTTCTTAATTAGTTTCACGAGTGCCTGTGTCTCGCTCTATGGGAAATCCATAATGGATTTCCTCAATATAAGTACATAGTTGCAGGCCGGCAACAATTGCTTGCCGAATTTCAAGAGAACTTACTATGCTTAAAACCCCAAATGCTAAAATAAACTTAAACGACTTATCGGCCATAAAAAATGGAATATTTGCTTAGAGTGTTATCACCTTCCCCGTACGGAATACTATACGCATTATACAATCATTGTGTTCTGGTTCTGTCTTTATTTGTGGACTAATTTTATACATATGTTTTTCACGATCAACAACGGAACGCTAAATATATATACTATACATACATATTTTGTACATATATAATGTAAATGTTCTTGGAAACGATTTTCCCCCGTTTGGCTAGAGCAAAAATTATCTTGGATCGCTTTTAGGGAATATTTTTAATGTTTCCGCTCACAGGCAGCTAGCTAAGCAACCCAGTTTCTATATATTTCTTTGATTTATTATTCTTGATAAATCACAATTTATTTATTTATAAAATGTCGATTATAACAAACAAGCTTACATATACTGAAAGGCTGTAATAAATGATGGAAGGCATTTATAAAACAAAAGTATTTAAAATATATATTTGTTGCTTGTCAAAAAGTAAAGTATATATAATATTTTTATTTTTTATCAGCCAGAAATTATAAATGCAAAAGCTTGTGAATTTTAAGTCTGATTTATTGCATTCCGGAAAGTAAGTACATATTTTTTTTTTTTTACAAATTATTTCCGTCTTAAGAGTGTGGCGCATTTACCTCACATAAATGGGACATTGTACGAAAAGTTATATTCAAATGACAGAAATAATAAAAGGTGTACTTCGCGAGTGGGTTGACACTTTACGCTGGTGAATTTCGACTCGTGAAATATTAAGATAATAATGCTGTAGGTTTTAATTATGATTTGGTTTTATTATGAAGTAAAGCCATGTCTTTGTTGAGAGTACCAACATTTTACCTTTGCAACGGCAAATTCATTTTTATATGCTTTCATGCGCTAGCTTGTAAATAAATTTATTTAAAATATTTAAGTAATAGAATTATACTAATTCGTAATTCTCTTCTTTTACAGTTGGTTAGACCTGTTCCCACATCTATGGAGTTTCATCTAGACAGTGCAGAATACTGCCAGGCACAGCACAAATAAAAAGTAAGCTTAGATATGGATTATTTTGCGCCAAGGACCTGAACATTTTCCACTTTTCATTCTTAATTAATTGGCTCAAGTGTTTCTGGGTGTTTCTGTGTATGTGCCGGTGTTCAAGTGGGTGGTGATGGAAAGGTCAGCTGACTGGATGGGAATTAAGCGCAGTGACCTTTCCGGACAACTGCTGGCTTGACCGAAATGGATAAGGGCACAGGGAAGCGTGTCTGTCTGGCTAAAATTGCAAAAGTCTCAATTATTTCATTGCGTGTAATTGAGCTAAATTGTTTTTAGTTTCCCACGAATAGTCGCCAATTGAGTGAACAATGAGTAGTGAGCCTTAAATAAAGAAGCCCCAAACCGATTATAACCAGATTTCTCCAGTTCACATACTAAGCTATCGTCTCGCCCGATTTCTTTGCAGGTAATCAACTCTCAAACAAGGCGGTGATAGCCTGAGTGAACACGGTCACCTCTTCGGAAGTCGACGTCGATAAGTTGGTGCATCTGTTCAGCTGGATACCGTCAACGGATTAGCTGATATAGCGACAGCAACGGGCCCCAGTAGCCAAAGTCGGTCAATCTGTCAATCTGTGGAGGAGATACATTGAAGAGGAATACATTTTAAGCATCGCAGTGATCGTAGATCATATCACAGCAGGGACATATTTTTATTTATCGCGACAAAGCTGAAATGAAATTGTAACAAAATCAACATTTATTCTAAAAATCCAATCATTTTCAATCGAGAAACGAGTGCTTAACTTAACAGGGAATCATTATTTTATGTGTGAGCAAGAAATCGTCAAAGGAAATTGATTGATTTTCTTTGTGATAGAAGAAAAATCCAAAATTGTACTTAAATATTTAAAAAGAATACCTAATTTCGTCATAAGGAATAGAATTTAGTTCTGTGTGTGTGTATTTGATGTGAACAATTTAAGCGTACTAATCTAAAACAGAGTTAATTATAATTATATTTATTTTGTATACATTAATCGGAACTAAACGAAAAACCAATTGTAAGATTCTAACACGCTGAATTTTTAAATCTAGAAATCGAACTACTTCCGTAAAGGCTAAACAAAATTTTGTGAAAACCACACGTTAAATTTAAAAGAAAAAGTACACACACTTAATTCAAGCAACACCGCCGAGTCAGATTAACTACTCCTCCAGAACTGCGATTGTAATCGTTTATGAGCATCAACATGCGTCAAAAAGATCTGCGCCCAGCCCCCGCTCTAATCGAGTACAAGGGCATGAAGTTCCTAATCACCGATCGACCGTCAGACATAACAATTAATCATTACATTATGGTAAGTCCTCCTTGTCTCTTTGGCATCCAATTTCACTCTAATATTCAATTTCCTTACCCGCAGGAGCTAAAGAAGAACAATGTCAACACTGTGGTCCGCGTGTGCGAGCCCAGCTATAATACCGAGGAGCTCGAGACACAAGGCATTAGCGTCAAGGACCTGGCTTTTGAGGACGGCACCTTTCCGCCTCAACAAGTCGTCGACGAGTGGTTTGAGGTCTTGAAGGATAAGTAAGTAAAGATAATGACAACTCTTGCCTTATGTAGATTATCTACTTAGTCTTACATTTAAATATTACACTCATTCGTTTCATTGAGCATAGGGCATTTGTTTATTTTGTGCAATTATTATGGAGCTCTAAAGACAAGCCTCGGAGACCGAAGCTTTAATATCCTTGCAAGAGTTAAGAGTAGAAACTTTGCCAGAAATTCTTTACCCGTTCTGAAGGCATCATAACCTTGCAAGGGTATATCGAAATTTGATCACTTTATATATCATTTGCCAGATCCGATCATTACTAACAACAATTGTACTCTGCAGTACAATTACAAATCCAGTTAAAATATCCTAATTTTCTAGCTTAGTCATAGACTATTATAATGTAGTACTAATAATTCTGTTGAAATATTATTTTATAAGATACCATTATTCATATCCGAAATATTCGCGAGTATATTACATACATAGATTAACCTCAAGTGATTTTTATCAATTTATTCAGTATTATTTATTGCTTTGTGACATACGATTGAATGAAAAGATCAAATCGATCAAATTGAAATCCGAACGAAAATCTATACGCTGCGCTAAGCCATCTATCTATCCAATGTGCTGTTATAAATGTGATACAAACCATCAACAATCGAACATTCTGACGATGAGTAAAACCCCCTGCTTTTAGTCCACGCCAACGCCTTAGCTGCTAACTCTTTTCGTTTTTAGTTTGAAAAAGCGCTTTCCCACGTAGTCATCAGTTATCATTTGCTGTACAGATTTAATTTACTTCCAATACTTCTTGTACAATCGTTCTTCTCAACCCTTTTCGTTTGTAAATTTCCTACCCACTATTTTTACTTCTAAGCCATCAATTTTGATCTACCCGAACTTACCTTACCTTCTTCCTATATATCTATATATATTATATATATATGATTCGTTTCGTGTGCTATTTTATGATACCAATACTCTGCTGCTGCTGTGCCCTAGTTTTAGAAAGTCCACAAGCGCCACACTATCCTACTACAAACATAAGCGGTTCTCGCTCAGACACATACCAAAAACAGTTCCAACAACAACAGCAACATCAGCAGCCACAAGAACAACAACAACAATAAGAGCGTCTACAACCAGAGCCAGTCTATCGGCAGCGTCCAGTCGGGCCGCAGATACCATTCCCCTAACAGAATACGATAATCTCAATGATACTGGCGAATTAGCATCAGCAATATATAATAATACTGCATTTGTTGATAATGAGACTTGTCGGTAAGCGTAGACCTAGAATAATATTTAGACCAAAAAAACAGATAAACAAACACGCTTAGCCAAAAATCAGTATAATTTTATTCTATGTTAACTTAATCTCATCTAAGCACGGTGCCTGTTCCCACCTGGAATGCTAACTATGTTAATGTTTACTCTTCTCTCTGCTCGCTCTCTGCTAGATATCAACAAAATCCGGAGGCCTGCGTTGCCGTTCACTGTGTGGCAGGCTTGGGACGAGCTCCTGTCTTGGTTGCCTTGGCACTGATTGAATTGGGCTTGAAATACGAGGCAGCGGTGGAAATGATAAGAGAGTGAGTGCCATATGCTATTCTGAAAATACAAATGAATAAGATGCGTAACGAGATTACATTTAAATTAAGAATTTATAACGAGAGGAAATATAAAACTGTTGCGGAATTTGTAATTATTGAAGAATATCTGAGAAATTGTATCTGATTTATTTCGATTTAAATCGTATATCGATTTATTGCAAATATATAAATTAAGATGTCTATTTGTATTTCAATATGCCAGTGCAAAAAAGTAGTCTGACGTTGCGCATCCTTTTCATTTATATTGTTTTTTCCTCTACTAAAGTTTAAATATCATTAAATTTATTTTATTTATTTTAGCAAACGACGTGGAGCCATCAATGCCAAGCAGCTTTCATTTTTGGAAAAATACAAGCCGAAGGCGCGGCTAAAGCACAAAAATGGCCATAAGAATTCATGTTCTGTGCAATAGATTTCCAAAACCATATGTATATTCCCACCAGATAAAAAGTGTTCATTTTTTCAAAAACAAAAAAAATAATACAAACAAACGAAAAGAAAAGAAAAGCAAGAATGTAAAACAAATGCGGAATGATAGAACCCGAAAAAAAAGTAGACGAAGAATTGAATCACAACCCCAGTTATTATTAAACCTTAAATCTCAAATTGAATTTGTAACTTGTATTGGCGCATAACATGTAGAATTTGTATGTATTAATTAATGTAATTTATTATTATTTTACAATCCGATTCAGCCCAGCCACCCCCAAGTTTAATTTTGTAACCACGACATATAGAACAGAAGAGTTATGAGCAGCCCATATACCCCATTAAATGGTTGTAGAAGGCTCGCCAAAGCAGTTAAAAACTATTATTCTGGATCAAACTATGCTGGAATAAATTAAATTATGGCAAAAACAATACAAATTACCACAAAATATTTTAGAATGCAAAGTATAGAGTGAAGAAAACGAAATATATCTACTTAACACAGTTACAAGCTAAAGCTAAAGTAATCAAGGATCTATAAATGTTCGGAAAATTGTACTTAATTGCATATTATTTTTTGGATCTGTTCATACATATACACATTTGTTTTTAGTTTTGCACTGTGAACACTCTATCAACGAAGCAAGCAAATATCTAAATATTTCATTTGAATGGATATATATTTATATATTTCCAACCTTCTTTTATATGCTAAACACATTGCTTATTTTGAACATTACAATACCAACCGGCTTCGCACATATTTGCATGCTTTTTGGGTGCCTGTATGTGTGACTCCAGGATGATATATGTATTTAAATATATATATATATACATATGTATGTATTATAGAACTACAAATTTTACATTAATGACTACATACATTTAAACTCAACAAATTGCAACCAAGCAATAATTCTTCAAACCAGCAGCAACAACCACATAGAGAGAAAAAAAAACAATTAAAATTTGAGAAAATGAACATGAAAAAAAAAATTAAACCTTATTGTAAACAACAAATTAAAATGTGTGTGAGAAAACGAAGACGAAATTAAGCACGACAACAAAAAAAAAGGACACAAGCCGAAAATAAAAACAAATATATAATGCTTACAAAATAATTTATCCAAAATATTGAATTGTAATTTTTTAAAATGTTAGTCATTACAAGGAAATAAAAATGATCTATATTAAAATTATACAAATTTCACAATGTCTTTCTTAAAACATTCGCATTCAAGATGGTTTTGATTAATAGTTATATAAATATGAAAATAATTTAAATTTTTTATTAATTCGTAGCAGAAAGAAGTAAAGCTTGTAGCTAAGAGCTCTGTTTAGGCAGCGTGACGTAAATCAGTGGTTCCCGGGGTGAAGGTGAAAGTCTCTTATCAACGAATTCCCAAAATCAGGCCATGGCTTCCGAAAAAGCATCCGGTCTAAGCTGGGATTGATAAGAACTATTTCTAGCGATGCCCGCACTCTGTGGGTGCTCGTTTCTATACATTTCCCAAGGAGGGGCACCTTAATACACTACAAAAAAAGACTCGTCATGTGGAACATTAAGACCATACAATGTTTAATTGACAACAAAAATAGCTACAAATTTAAACTTAGAAAATGTGTTTCTCGATCCTGTTATGTGATGACATTTTTACTCGAGGAAAGACTCGTGATCGCAGTGATCACCTTAACAGCATCTGCCTGCAGTTGATTTAGAACCGCCTCAGGTCTGGTTTCAAGCCTAGTTTGAACCGCAAACAGAATAGCCTCCATCTTGATTTGTTGGCCCTCCAGTTTGATTTGCACCTGAAGTTGTCTTTCCAGCTTAGCTTCCATTCCTTGTAGTCGTCTGATCAGCCTCCTTTCCACTCTTGGTAGTTGCACCTCCTCCTGAAGTAGCTTGGCCTGCACTTCTCCTATTTTCACCTCCAATTTCTCCAGTTTCGATTTGATTTCGTTGTCAGCATCACGGGTGTTCGTGTTCCCTTCGTTCTGCGCCTTGACGACTTCGCTAAGTCGTGGGCTTAGTTCAGTGAGACAGATGCCTTCTTCCTTTGGGCGCTGGCTGCATGTATCCTGTGGCAAGGAGCCTTCGCAGAGGACCAGTCGGGTTATGTTCGCCTCATCGAGGATCCAAAACCATTTGGAATCAGTTCACCAGAGACTTTCAACTTCCGCCTCCTCGACAGTGATTAATTATTTTGGGAATCAGTTCACCAGAGACTTTCAACTTCCTCGGTCTTACAATCTCCCAGTAAAAGGATGCACAACTTCGGAACCTTCTTCCTTTGGGCGCTGGCTGCCTGTATCCTGTGGCAAGGACCCTTCGCGAAGGACCAGTCGGGTTATGTTTGCCTCATCGAAGATGCAAAACCCTTTGAATCCTCGACGAGGCGAACATAATCCGACTGGTCCTTTGCGAAGGCTCTATGCCACAGCATACAAGCAGCCAGCGCCCAAAGGAAGAAGGTACCGAAGTTGTGCATACTTTTACTGGGAGATTTTAAGACCGCGGAAGTTGAAAGTCTCTGGTGAACTGATTCCCAAATTATTCAAAGACTATCGAGGAGGCATTTAGCTTAAGCTGGGATTGATAAGAGAGCTTTTTATAAAGATGACGACACACTCTGTCCACGCAATTCCTAATTTCTGGGCGCCCAATGGAATAAGGTACCAAAGTTGTGCATACTTTTACTGGAAAATTGTAGGATCGCGGAAGTCGAAAGTCTCTGGTGAACTGATTCCCAAATTATTCAAAGACTTTCGAAGAGGCATCGAGCTTAGGCTGGGATTGATAAGAGCTTTTTATAAAGATGACGACACACTCTGTTCACGCGTTTCCTAACTTCTGTGTGTATAAAAATGTATATACAAACAAACAATATATTCTAGGCCACTATTTAATTCAAGATGCAGAAATATTGCCCAGCTTAGGCTCGTCGGCTACCGGGTGATGGTCTGGTGTAAGTCTCTTATCAGCATCCAATTCAAGTTGGAATTGATAATAGCTATTTAAAACGCTGCCCGTATATACATATGTATGTATATATTTCCCGAGGAGAAGCACCTAAGTAGCATATACACACTGTAAAAAATTACCATCCATTTGGAACTATTAAGACAATGCGATGATTCTTTTGTTGAAAATCCAGAATGTAATTTTTATTGATAACAAGAAAGAAAGCTAACTTTGGCCAGCCAAACAAAGTTTGTATACCCTTGCAGGTAACAATTAAAATATATCATAACTAAGCCAAAAATGCATTAATTTCGATTCGGAAAGCAGTTTTGTGTTAGTTTTTATTAATTTAAAAAAACTGCATACCAAATTTAAAATTTAAAGAAATCAAAATTTTTGGCCATTTTTGCTAATTTTAATGATGTAACCCCTTATCAAATTTCGCAAAAATGGCCAAAAAATCGATTTCTTCCGGACATGTCTAGAAAGATTCGCATGTTAATGCTGATCAAGAATATATATGGTTTATGGGGTCGGAAATGATTCCTTGACTTAGAAAAATATTATTTTGTATTATAAAATCTGATTTTTTATATTAAAAACTTCTTGATTTTTTTTTAAATTAAAAATATCATAACTCGGCCAAAAGAGCATTAATTTTAAATCGGAAAACTGTTCTGTGCAAGATTTTCTACAGTTAATAAATCTGCATACTTCATTTAAAAATTTTGAAAATTCATTTTTTTATCAAAATCAAAAATTTTAATGATGTAACCCCTTATGAAATTTTGGAAAAATGGAAAAAAAATCGATTTCTTCCGGACATGTCTAGAAAGATTCCCCTGTTGATGCTGATCAAGAATATATATACTTTATGGGGAAAAAGAATTGTTTTTCAATTTTTATATTTTCTTAGCTTATTGTTATTATTTTATGTTTTTATATTTAATTGAGTACTATTTTATAGTGTTTCTAGAGGAGACGGGACTTTGATATAATCTTTAATCCAAAGGTTTATTTTTGTAGAAAATAATTTTAGATTTAAAGTCCCAAATATCAAGTAACGTTCCGGTTTATAAATAGTAAAACTTAAGCTCGATGATTAAACCAAAACTTGTATCTATGTAAATGCTCTGGAAATGATTGACAAGGTTTTATTATTTTCAAAATTTTACTTTATTTAAAGCTATGTTTCATTGCCCGCCTGGCAAATAAAATTCCAACGGGTACTACAATTGTGGTCCCACATCTCGCCTTGGTGCAATAGGGCGCAGTTGATCAGGTGGTTCTCGTCGTTTGGATCTGCCTTATGCCATTTTAAAAATTGCACTGGCTTGTGCGAGGCCACAGATACGAAGTGGCCATTAGTATCCCGATTGATACCCAGCCAATAGCCCTGCCATCTTGGCAGTTTTGCTGTGATGGTGCTGAATTCGTCTTCGTTTTGAAAGGTGGCTAAGAAACCTCCCATCTCATAACACCTTATCCTAGCAGTTGCCCAATCCACACGTTCATTTGCCACATGGAAGTATCTGGTACCGATTTGCTCGAAACCATGTGGTATAGTATTTCCAACTAGATCCGGGACTCTCACCTTGACTGCTCGTTCAAGTTCATCCATCTTATTTGACATAGCCTGCAGTTGATTTTCCACCTTGCTCAGAGCCGCCTGAAATTGGGTTTCAAGTCTGGTCTGCACAGCAAGTAGACTTTCATTTAGCTTAGCTTGGTACACCCCCAAATTGGTTTGTAACGTCTGATGTTGATCTTCCAGCTTGGCCTGCGCCTGCTGATGTTGATCCTCCAGCTTAGCTTCTACTCCTTGGGGTAAGATTGAGCCGGTCTGAAGGTCCTCCGCTAAGGATCCAACCCACAGATTGCAGGAAGCCAGCACCCAAAGGAATAAGGTACCGAAGTTGTGCATCCTTCAACTGGGCGAGTTTGAGATTGTTTTGTGTGAAATTCTCTGGTGAACTGATTCACGATTTATTGGAAGGCTTTCGAAAAAGCATCTCGGGTTCGACGGGAATTGATAAGAGCTATCACAAGCCGTGATCGTATATATATGTATATATTTATTTTCCATGATCGATAAGGCATTTGCCCCAGAAATGATTGGGGAAATTGATAGATTTAATTAATAGAATTAATACAATAAATGTAAATACATAACTATGTATGTTATTCCCCGTGAATTTTTACTAGGCTTTCCCTTGTTTCCTATATATTTATACTCCTGATACTTACACCTAGCCACCATTAATATCGCTATGAATATCGTCTGATATTCTTTAATTAACGCCTTGTGATGTTTGTGTTTGTCTTGTAGTCAAGAGCTCTGTTTGAGCAGCATGACGCAAATCCGGGGTTCAGTGTGAAGGTGAAAGTCTCTTATCAACGGTTTTCCAAAAAACACGCGATGGCTTCCTCATTCCTCAAGTTCCTGTAAATATTTTTGAAGGATCGTCTAAATATTGGTAGTTCGTAACGTCAAAGGGGATTTCATTACCAAATTGTAGAATTTAAAGATTCCTTTTAATAAATTATACGTAGGTTAAGACAATTAATGACCTAAATGGGCTTGGAGGTCGGTCGGGAAAAGAAACTCAATCCATTTTTGTAGACAGAAAAACTTGATTCATTCGATTTGTATTTAACGATGTTCTCTTTATTTTGCAAATATAAATAAATATATTGATAATTAAAACTAATAAGTTTTACAATCTGTTCTGTATTCCAATGTTCTCTTTCGTTACTTTTGTAGGGTATAACACACTCGATTAGCTTTTGAGTCCAAACACTCTTTTGTTTAAATGCCATTAAGCATAAATCCTCAAAAGAACTCGTACAACTCTCCCCAAACTTGATATTATTCCTAATTCTCTTAATCCATGATATTTTTTTTGTCACTCAAATAAAAAAAAGAAAGAAAATCTGCTTAATTCTGAGGATTCTGTCAATAAACTGCCTCTGGCTACTAAGAGAGTGTGTTTGCCAGTGTCTTGATAACATGTGCCTGCTAAGGATGTGTGTTGTCCAGTGTCAGTGCACCAATGAAATGTATGTTTTACTGGATCTGGCTGCTGTATGTTTCCCATTAATAAATCTATTAATACGCATATCTGCACACATTTTTGTTCAGTGCTCTTAAGTTGTGGAGGCTTCGAGAGTGAAGGGCGCTCTGTTTTGAAGCTAAGCTTGGTATATATTTTGCTTAGCCAAACGAGCACCGACCCAGGATAGGACTAGAAAAATAATAGTTTCTCGCTGCAGTTCGAGTTTTATGCACCTTCGTATGGCAGCAAACAAAGCACCGAGACAAGTAAGTATTACGATTTAAAGCGATAGCAATTTTTGAGTTACGTGTTTTGTGATTATATATTTTGGGTAGGGCTGGGCTGGGAGCTCATCTCCTCTCTCGTCGTGTGGAAAGCAAAAACGTAAACTACATACGTGTAAAAAAATATATATATGTACTTCTTTGCTTAACCACATTCAAGTTACAGATTTCTCTCGCTTCGTTTTTCGCATTTCCTATATACAAACTGGCGACTCTATACACAAATAGTTATCCCAAGAAAATCATAAAAATAAATGTATGTATACATGGTTTTGTCTTCGTTTAAGTGGTAATAAACACAGGAAAATAAATACAAAGTTGGCAAAGTGTTGTTTAAACTAAAAAAATAGCTGCTTTGGTACTCCGAACTGACCGTCGTTTTGCCGCCTTCAGTTGAAGCAAAAAATAATAATAGTATGCGAAGTAATCAGATTAATACCTACTAAATTTAAACATTTCTCTATATGTATTTACAAATCACAGCTACAAACACTAAAGCCTTTTCTTCCAGTGTTGCTTTAAGGTGGCGATGACAGGCGTTTTGCGGAGCTTTACGGCCGGGCGGCAAAAAGAAATAAAAAATAAAAATTAAACGTACACACGATAACATTACACTTCGTTACTTAAACTCGATTCGCGTTGTGCCTAAAAAAAATAAAACTTTTAACTTGCAAAAGGCATTCTTTTTACGTTAACAGTAAAGAATAGGGTTGTGAATGACCTCAGCTCGCATTTTTACAGCCAACCGCCCTTGCGACCGAACAGCAAGGAACTAACTGAGCCCACAAACGCCTGTGTGATGGTCTGCGGCGCCGCCTCCTCCTCCTCCGCTGCCTTCGTTCCAATTTTGGAGCCCAGCTTGGTGGTTTTGCCGCTGCTAGTGCTGTCCGATACCTTTCCCAGATCGGGGCGCACTCGTCCGCCACCTGCTCCACCGCCAGCGATTGTACCCAGGTCGGGCCTCTGGCTGGCCATGCCGTTCTTCAGCTGCCTTCGCGACTTCTGGCGCTGCATCTGCTTTAGTCGCGTCTCGGTCGCAGTGCCGCCGCCAGTGGATGTCGATGCCTTCTCCACAGGTGTTGACTGACTTTGTGCTATCGATGTTGTCGGCGTTGAACTCTTCGTTGGCTTGATTTTCATCACCAAACCTTGATCGTCGCTATCGTCACTGTTGTAAGCACTGGTGCTACTGCTGCTGATCGTCGAAATTGCTCTGCTTCCAGCCGATGTCGATGCCGCTGCTGCTGAAGATGACGGTGCTGCAGGTGTTGGTGATTTTAAGCCTCGGTGAAGGACGCCCTTAATTTGCGCCCGATCAAAGTGTATGTCGTCCACAATGCTGTTGGTGCTGGTGTGAAGACTCTGCAAGCTGCCACTGCTGAGCGGCGAGCTACTGCGGTTGGCTATTCCCGCGCCCACGCCACGCTGTGCATGGATGATGTTCTCCAGTCCGATGCTTTCCACCTTCTCGATTAGGTTCAGCGAACGCAAAGCCCGCCTCTCTAGGTGCGACAGCATGATCTTCTGCTGCTGCTGTTTGCTTAGGCTGCTCCGCTGCTTCTGCTGGTGCTGATCCCCGACAATCTTGCGGCGGATCAGATCTGCACCCGAAGAAAGCAGGCCGAAGAGAGGCTCCGGCGACTGGCACCTGGGTGGCGATCCCTCGGGGCTATTGCAGGGCGTCACTGTGGGCGAAAAGTTGGGACCGGCGGGTGTGTTGAGGGCACTGGGTGTCACAGCCTTGATTCCCCGCTCATTCAGCATTCCAGCCAATCCGAGGTTCACCGAGAATGTGGAGCAGGAGTTCTTGCGCGAGAGTCCAGCGCGAGGCGTGGCAGGACAACTGAAAGAAGCGAGCGTAATTGATATAAGAGACTGGAATGGATTCAAAACCTAGCTGTTGCCTTACCTGGGCTGTCTTGACGTTGATGTGGAGGCCATGCGCGAGGACATCTGTGACTGCGAGAGGAACGAGAGGTCATTCACAAAGCCATCGTCCGGATGCATAACCATGCTTGTGGTGTAGGTGAAGGTGCAGCCAGGTGCCTCAAACTGCTTGCCGGGCAAATCATCGCTGACATCCTCCTCGACGTCCGATAGCGTATAGACCTGCATGCCCAGGTCATCCAATCCTCGACCGCCACGGATCGTTACTCCGGGACGTTCGTCGAGCAGGCCACTGAGCGTGGGCGTGGCCAGGCGCGACCAATGGTGCAGGGTCTGCGATCCTTCCATCGGCTTGATAATCTGCAGCTTTTCGGGCAGGCGCCACTGGTGCGTCATAGAGGCGGACATGTGATTCGTTGATCCCGACATTCCCGACGAGCCCGTAGACATGATGCTGTCCGGCGTGCGAACGCCAAGTGGGAGGTTCGAGTTGCGTTCGTGACTTGTTCCGTGTGCCGCCGGCTCATCGTAGTTGTAGGTGCCAGCCGGAGCATATGAAAGCATTGCTCGACGGGCCAAGACCTCGGCCGGCGTCAGTCGCTTTAGTGCCGCTTCCAACTCTTTGGCGCCGGGCGCTCCTGGCACACCAGAGGGCTGGGCTGGATAGCCGTCATCAGACTGGGAGTTGAGACTCTCGCTGGACAGAGTTTTAACGCCCAGCGATTGACTGCTAGCGCCGCGATAGTACGAGCCCGCTGGATACGCCATAGACGCCATTCGCGGTCCCGAAGTGCTGCTCATTGACATGGCACCCAATTGGGTCATCGACACATTGCCACTGTCCATGTAGTTGCCGCTCTTACCCGCACATCGTACAGTATCAAAGACCCGCTTATATGGGGGCACATTGCCAACTCCGGCATAGATGCTGCCACCCATGGCCGAGGAGCTCATGCCGCCGGAAGGCATCTGCATCATCATGCGATTGATACGATCGGCCGATCGCTGGCTATCACCGGAGATGCCAGAATCAAGGCTGTTCTCCGAGTACAGCGATGACTCCATCAGCTCACTGTGCAGCGAATCCGGCTGGAAGAGGCCGCCACCAACGCCGGCTCCACTCGTGCCCAGGCCTCCGAGGAAGGAGCTGCGTGCTTGCGGTTGCGAACGCTTGCGTTGCTGCTTCAGCTGGTCCTGAGCAGAGTGCAGCAGGGCCAGGACTTCCTCGTACCGCTGCTTGAACTCGACCAGCTCCAGGGCCAGGGCATTCTGGTTTTCCTTGGTCACGTGCAGCAGCGAAAGATGCTCGTCGTTGTCCTGAGTGAGCTGGTGCAGCCGCATCTCCGCCTCAGCCAGGCGAGCGGTCAAGCTGACGATCTGCTCGTGCTGCAGTCGATTCTCCTCGCGCTGTCGCTCCAGCTCTAAGCTGATGCTGTCATACTGGGAATTGGCGTCATTCAGCTGGGCACCGATGTCTGCCATTAGCTGGCGCTCGTGCTCCTCCACCTCGTCTGTTTTATGGGCCAGCTGGGTAGCCTCGCTCTTCAGCGATTTGTTCTCGTCGAGCAACGTGTTGACCTTGCGCTGCAGAAGATCCAGGGTAATCGACTTGGACATTGTGGGCGTATCTGCAAAAATTGATGTTTGGATTATATACCAATTGAAATAATAAAATATGCCAATTTCTACTTTTATTA